CACTGTTTTCGCGTGTCTGCCTGCTCCGAGAGTGGTGAGAGGGGGGGAAACAATTTAAGTGTCCTGCATGTGGTTGCTTTCGTTGGTCACATACGGAGCACTAGGGCGTGCTTTTTGAGTTGGTTGAAGGATAGTATAGCGGGGCAGGCCACGCATAACTACTTTCTACTATGCCTCGTACATTTACCTAAGAACTAGAAACATCTGACTCACGACAAGGAATTGTCAGTGTATTGTCACAGGAGAGAATATTCTTTGAAAAAAGCTTTAATAACATTGTATTGTGTATTTATCGAGAATAGAGTTAACTGGCCCTATAGGGATACTCTCTAGTAGAGCGTTACAAGTGCACTGAGAAGGGTTAAAATGTAGCGTAATCCGCTATAGTACCCCTCGGCCTTCAAATATAAAGAGAAAAAGGGCAGCTACAGCGCACGTATCTGCACTCTCTCATCAGGCTGAGCATTTAGATCTAGTTGCGCATAGCATCTGGCCACGCATGTAAACATTGATTCTTATTTTATCGAGCCAATACTTTTGTGCAACAAATACGATGAACGAAGCGCCAAGCCACGTGGTCAGTTCTTTATTGATTCTCAATCAAGCATAGCTAATTTAGTATAAAGAGTATATGTGTAGCGTCACCCAACGTACACTAGGGAAGATTTAAATTGGTAACACCACCCTCAAAATCACCAGGACTCAAGAGCTTGCTCACCTCCCAATTCTGGTAAAGCGAAAGTGCAGGCAGTAGTTTGCTATCTTTTTGCAGGACTTATCACACAAACATTTTAAGCGGTATATAAGCAAAAACGACTACACCTCTACATTGGTTACAAGAGCTTTCATGGAAGCCAACCAAAGTAATTGATCGCTAGAAATGGGCTACCGCCTTGAATTCCCTAGCTTTTTAGTGGGTACAAATGCAGCTGCTTCATGATGTGCCCTAATCTCGCCTTACATCTCACTTCTTCTCAACGGTAGGTCACCTTGGCCGCTGGGGGCTGCCATTGGCGCCTACCATGACATGTGGAGTGAACCAACGCCTTGTTTGCTCCTTAAACTTATTCCTTTATTGGGCTATTGCTGATCTGAATCGAGTTTGCTTTGCATCAAAGCCTTGATAAAGAGTATCAGCCCCAAGTTCTTGTTTGCCCGCATATACTTTTACCCTGCCCGACGGTGTTTGCGGTTTGTGTTATCGCTTCAAAGCTACCTATGTCAGGCCGCAACACCTGACGCTTTTTGTCTTATTCATTTCTTTAAACTTAGTTTTTCTGCCTTCGGTGACCCCAATCCCAGGAGGTCTGTGGTCAAGGGTTTCTCTCTCCGACCACTTCTCGAATCGGTCACACTGAAACGCACTGGCTGTGCTTTGGCATGAGACGGTGTGGTAGCTCCAGCAAGCCAAAAACATCAGCCTCACGATCAGTGATAGTAAGAGCAATAACAGCCACAACAGCATTAGGAAACCGTAACGGTGGAGAAAGCAGCATCTCAACTACTTTGAGGTATCCTCTCTTGGGTGATGGCCCCAGTGTGGCGATCTGTAGCTCCCAGCAGTTAGTCTTCTAATACTGTGACATCTAGAATGCAGACACCAGGCTGCAGCGGCCTGGGGGCTTACTACCCACATCTGCCGCATGTTCACTCCCAGGGCCTTTATGGAAATTCCTCTGAACCTGCTCAAGAGCAGCAGGACGAGCCGGGTGTACATATATGCATCCGAGACTCAGTGAGACTTTTGGGCGAGGCGGTGGCCGTGCTGGAGGGTGTGAGGCTTCTGGGATCGCAGCTTTTGCATTGGGGAGGAGAACTGAACCATGTGGTGCAGTCCTTCATCCCCGCCGCGTTGCTGCTGCAGATGTGTAGGTGGATATACAGCCGAACACTAGGGGCATCTAGGCGCCGCACCCTTATCCGCATGCGTAGGGCATGGCAAGAGGCCAGTGGTGTTTTCCCTTCCGTGTCCAGCAGCAGGAGCAGCGACGACCGCTTATTGGGTCTTTGTCCAACGCGCAGCAGCAAAAGCAGCTGGCTGTCCACTCTGCGTGATCTTTCGGCCCTTCTTGCCTTCACCATTGTTGTTGCTGAAATGTACTTACACTTCTATGTGTACAGGTGCGATGGGACACTTTAAGACAGCTGCTACTCATTGCATTTGTCGCTCTCGTGCGCAGGCTGCCTCACTACAATGTCTTTGCCAACCATGTTCCATGCATTTTGCTGTATTGTTTGATTTCCGCAGGCGACTCCTCGGACGCCTTCGATTCCTTACATCCAAAACAAGAGGTCTTCCAGCACATCCAATTGAGGAGAGTAGTAGTGGCAGTGCAAGCGGCGAGAGCAGCAACAGCACCTAAGTGCGGAAACTAGAAAGCGTGTCGCCGCATAATGCTTATTCGAAGGATGATTTATAGAGCCTGCAGCGCATCAGACTGTTGCTGCCGCTTTTTCCGGAGCCTCCTTTGGTAATTCACTTAAGCGCACCGTGCCGGTCAACTATGTGCTTTGGGCGCTTCTGGATCCGGCAGAACTATTCTCCAAAGTTCAGCAGTCTGCTAGTGCAGCAGCTGCGGAAATTCTGCAGCTGTTGCTGGGGTAACAACATGCCGCCTTCCTTCCACTGGGCGTAAGCCATCAGGCATGTTTTGGGGAGGAGCCTAGTACAGTAGTATCGGGAGTAAATTTTACCAAGTCCAGCAGCATCTCCCAAAGTACCATCTACGCATAGGTTGCTTGCTACTCGACCTCTGCTTCTGTGCAACTGATCAGGCCTACCTACAATCAATCCTGTATATTCGGGGCCTACACGCATGGCCTTCCCCACGGCTTCCTCTAAGTGCCCACTAATCTGCTGCCCTAACGATTCTTATAGGTGGCGGTAGTTCTCTTAATGGCTCACATTCTGCGATTACTGCTGCCCATTGTGGGGAACTCCAGGGGAACCTAAAAAATTCACACAACTAGAGCCCATACATTTCAAAGGCATCGCTTACATCAGGAGTTGCCACGCAGTGACTGCCCTTTGCTGACACCAGCAGGTGCCGCAGAAGCATGGGAACGCGCAGTTGCTCACTTTCCTGGCGGGGTCCATTCCCTTCGCTTGTGCATCAGCAAGCCGTCGCAAGCATAAAAGGGACGCGCGGAAGCGATGGCATCAGTCCCCCTTCATCAGATCTTTTACCCGGCTCAAAAGTGCCTCTCTGTTAGTGCACACCAAGTATCCTTGCTGAACCATGGAATCGAGCAGCAGTAATCCAGGCTCTAAGTGCTGTGAAAGCTGAGTTTCTAGCTGAGGACGTCCTGTGGACAAGGGTACTCCTAAGATTTGCCGTAGCAGCCCCACAAATAGATCTATGAGCTCTCCCACCACTAAAGGTACTTCCTCGCCGTCGATTCCCGCAATGAAAAACAGGGAGTCATGCTGTCTGTACACCGCACGACTGCTGCGACTTCCTCTGGTGAAACGGGATGGCGGAATCACCAACACCCTCGTCTTCTGATACTCATACGGCATTGCTTTCCTTCTGTTTGCTCTAGAGCCCTCCCCTGCTGCGCCGCTTATGGGTTGTATACGCGGCAACAGCAGCTGTTGCTTCAGCTGGAGCAACAGCCAATTCCTCTCATCTGCCGACAAGGGATCATACCAACGGCACAGACGCGGCGTTCCTTTCTCACCGAATACTAGCCAATAATGAATCATGCTGTTCATACTGCGCTGCAGTTGTTGCGGCTGTCCTTTTCCCCACCGCTTTTGATACTTCAACGTGAAGGTGTCGCTTCTGTTCCTGCTTACGATAGTGCTGCTGATGCTACACTTGCTCGGTTGTACAGACAAAGTTGAGCAGTTCCGCCTCCTGTCTCACATGGGAAATGAGGAGTTCTTCCAATAACCAAAACCACTATGGATACGCCCCGACAATTGTAGGCGTAGGTGTGAACAAACCAAATCGATGAAAGCCTTAACTACGGACTATCTCGCATATGAAAAAAAATTGGAATAACACACCGTGATGAGTCATCCATGCCCCTATCTTCTTTAGATTGAGTACAGCCGGCATTCTGCTGTACTCTAATAGCGGGGTAGTGGGTTGCTGTGGAAAATTTCTCGAATATCCCCTGCCTGTTAAAAATTTACCCTATGTAGTGTCGTACAATATTCAAAAAAATGGTTTTTCGGCGGACGTTTCGTACAGCTGGCCATGAGCAACAAAATAGCTGGAGCCACTTGGGGGCCCCTGGAGCGGGACGGGCCCCCAATGGAGTCATTTCCTGCAGGGAGAAGACCCTTCAACTTGTCCCTGGTGTAGAATTACGTGAAGATGGATTCTATGCAGAAGAGAATTGTACCCACGGGGGAAACGTCCTTACAAGGGGTTCGCGAAGGCAGAAGCCAGGGGTGCTGAGGCAGAGCCCACGGTGCTGTACGCCCATCAGCTAAATTGAGTGTCTTCCAGAGTAGGGAAGAGACGAGAGCTTATGTTTCCTCAATATCGTGCAAAGGTGTCAACACGACTGATATTCAGGCAAACGCTTTTGAAACGAATAACTGGGCTGCGCTTCATCACGTTTGTTCCGTGATCGCTTATAACAAATGTTGGGTTCTGAGATCAGTGCAAATACACACATCACAAAACAATCTGACTCTGTTTAAGCAATCAAGGAAGGACTCCTATTGTCAACTTTCTGTGAAGATATATTGGCCACAGGCAATTCTTTTGCCACCCAGCCGGTACACCTTTCCATCTTTGTTTGCATCTTTCACCTTCTCATTGCCCTCTGGTCTTCCCCAGCATCTGTCTATCTCTGTTACTCTTGCTCGTAGCTTCTATGCAGTGTGCCACAGCAGACTTTGGGGTGCCTACGAGGAAAGGAGCACCCTAATACAGGATTCAAGGAAGTCTGTTGCCGCTCTCTCGCTTTTCACACTTCATGTTTGCCCTTTCTTTTTATATGGGCCTACAGCTCACTGAGTCTATCGTTTCTACTGAATTGTCTGCACATCTACCGTGGCTCTTCTAGTACGGTGCCGTCCATACTCCTGACGGACCCGTGCGCACTCATAAATAGATATGGAAAAGGCTTGATGCTTCTCTTGTGAGTGCAATGGACACCGAGTTGCTCAAAATCCCACGGAGGAAAGATCCTCAGGAAGCTATACAGCAGTTAGCCGTGACTCCATAACCTTTGCTCATGCCTTGGGTATAGAACTCATCCACTGGGGGAAGAATCGCTAAAATCGAGTTGACGCCCACCGTGAAGGAGTCCTTACAAAAAAGACGGCTTTACCGCAAATTTAGTTCTTTAGAAAGAGAAATATAGGCGCACTGAGGGCAAATAAGCAAATTTATACGCCCCCGAGTAGCTAAAGTTAGAAACCAAGAAGGAGAGCAGCTAACACTTGGTAAACATACTAGGCACGGCCAAACAATGGAAGCAGCTATGCTAATGCAGAAGGGCTGCAATTTAATCGCGCGCTTCCTGTACACTCTGTAAATACTTTAGAGAAGCTGCAGTCTTCTCGTTGCTCATCTACGAAATGTACAAGGCTTCCAGCTCTCATTTCCGCTTAGGTGTAGTGCCCTGATTACAAAGGTTGCCAATATAAAAAAGGCTTTCGCAAAGGCCTTCATACTTCCCTTTCGATTTGTTCATGCACCTGACACTTTAAACTGGGGTATTTTAAAAAAACATGGGCCCCAGAGGAGGAGAAAGAAAATGTAGCAGACGAGATGCATGAATGAGGAGTAGAGCAAGCTCTTTTCTTTGAGAGCATGTACAATTATAATAGGGCGAGAAGTTTCTGCACGCTTTATTGCACTGGTGCTTCTTTAACTCCCGAAAGAATGAGCCAGTAACGCCCTTAACACTAGAACAACACAGGAGAGGACCCCCACAGACACCCAAATTAATCCACTACCCCTTCATTGCAACAAGTTGAGATCCGGATAAGGCTTTTTTACCCATTTTCTGTATCCAGTGCCGTTATCATGCCGTGAATCACGTCATTCCAAGACAGTGCCTACTAAAGTGCTGACACTATCCTCGTGATACGCTGTGGAATCCCTCGACTGTCTACTATCCCTTTATTGGCTTTTCATGGCAGGAACAGTACTGGATACAGACGAATGGCGAAATCAGCCTAATGCGAATCTCTTCCTGTTGCAATGAAGTGGGTTGATTTTGGTGTTTGTCGGGGTCCTTTCCTCTGTTGTTCCAGTGATAAGCGTTACTTGCTCATTCTTTTAGGATTTAAAGAGGCACCAATGCGATGGAACCCGCAAAAACTGCTTGTCCTATTATGCTTCTACATGATGCTACTATAGGGATGTGCTAGCTGCGAGCGGTTCGCTTTTTCATTCACGCTTTCCTGCCAGCGCCTCTTTCGACTGAACCCCCACTAGGCTGGCAAGTATGTCCTTTTGCTGTATTAATTGTAAGGAATTGCATCAGCATACGTGTTTCGTCTTTCTTTGCATATTTTTGAAGGGATCCGCTAGTCGCTATGCAGGATATCACGATGGCGAGAGTAGTCTCCGGTGCTTCAACCCTTCCATGGGTTGTCAACATGCGCTTTTGAATCATCAGAACTCACAAAGCACCATAGCGTTGGGCTATTAACGACGGTAAAGTCGCGCCTGTTTCAATAAAAACATTGAATTTATTGTACAACGAGCCATAATTCTGAAACAAAGCTATAATTTAGGTTGAAATTCCTGAGTGTCCTTCAGATGTGCCCAGCGAAGCGCCTGTACGCGAGGGACTGCAAAACCTCGCTGCCGTTGATCCACGACGCGACTCCCGGCATTTTCTTCCTTTGTCTCAGTAGATTAAATGAGTAGGAAGCCACATACGTGGTATGTGCAACCGGACTAAGCATATAAATGCTTTACCCATGAAGCCGGTAGCAAATGCAAGTAACTTGGCCTCGCCCGCGGGGGCTCCCGCGGAAGTACCCTTAACCTCCAGTGCTGCCGCTTGCCAAAGCAGCGGTTCCCCTGGTTCTTTCCTTATCGATATAGAGCCTTCTAATGTGGTTGCCACTACACCGAATGCGAGGGCGGAAGGAGACGGTGTTTTGGAGCCTCAAGTTCAACGGGGCGGGTTTTCGTCATTAGGAAAGGTGTGTCCAGCAGATGAAGGCGTTTGCAATACGAGCCATGTCATGGGGAGTGTGGACGTGCGTCTGCCGTACGAGCGACCCAAGAGTAAGAAGTTCCATAGAGCCTCCAGCTACCAGTGCCACGTCTCTTTAGAGGGGTGGCTACGGGCTTTCCCTCAATTGACCCTGCAGGACCTTGGGCCAGGCTTTTCCTCTGGAAGCTTTGAAAACTCTCAGGGCCTCAGGCTAGCGACGTATGCGTGGCGACAACAGGGGACCCCCAAAGGCGCCATTGTTCTTTTCCATTCATACACTTCGTATACACTTTTCGACTTCCTCCGGCATCAGCCACCCAATCGGCCTCTCGATGATTCCCATGACGAGGCAGCAAACTGGGTGCCCAAATATCCAGGTACATTGGTGCATGTTAGCGTGTAATACGAAGGTACATCATAAACGACCTAGGGTCCAGTAGCGTCTTGAGACACACCTCTGCATGAATGGATTCCATCAGGCGTACTTGACAGATAAATACCTGAGCTTAAATATGGAGAAGTACAGTCAGCTTGGAAATCGTTGTAGTCATAAGTATTTGGAATCCCAGATTATACTCTGGCTTTTGTGTTTTTGCTTCCCGCAATTGTCTTCTCACTGTGCCTTTTCTATACAATCCTCAGCGTCATTACTGCCCAATGTGGCCCAGCGTTTAAGCATCAAGTGTGTTTGGCCTCATTCAGGCAGTTGGGTGGAAGGCTTCTACAGGCTTGGTCTGAATGTTTACGCCTTGGATCACCAGTCGCACGGTCGTTCTGAAGGTTGGCGTATGTGGCGTTGCATCGTCTCAAAGTTTGATTGTCTTGTGGACGACGCTTTGCAATTCCTCAACGAATATGTTGCTACTGATGAATCCCTTGCACCTGACGTTCCTATCGTTCTTCTCGGTTACTCTATGGGTGGCAATGTAGTTATTCAAACGTTGGGTAGGATACACAACGGGGAGAAGGAAGCGGTACTCCGGGAAAGAGTCAACCAGGCGATTTTCCTCGCTCCGCTTATAAAGATAAGATTGGATTTCAAGACGCATTTAATGGTTAGACTTAATCGGTCCCTCATTTCGTGTTGCATGCCGAATTTGAGGATTTCGCGGGCAGATAATAGCGGAGATTGCCCATTTCTTGGATGGTGGTATCAAAGGGACCCGTTTACCTATTCCGGTGAGAAAAATGCGTAACGCCCTGGAGCTATATGTGGTTCCCATTATGCTGGACTCCGCGTCAGGTCTCAGAGTGCCGTGACCGAAATCATGTGTCCACCGAAGCACTGCTTTGGAGGGCGTGTTGGGTTCACAGTCACCTCAGCCAGCCTTTTAGAAGCCCATGAGGAAGCGCTGAGTTGCGATTTTTCTTCTCTTCATGCTGATCGCAAACGCGGAGGTGAACTGATCTGCTAAATAGGCAGCTGGTCATGCCCTCAGGGAGGACAAAATCACGTATGGTCGCTGCCCTCTATGACGCCTCTAGGAAGGTGCCCAAGGTCATTCGCAAATTCCCTCATCAGCTGAAGCTACTTTGCCTCCAGGGTACCAATGACCAAACAGTCGATTTTCACGCTCCTCTGAGACTGTACGAGTCCCCTGTAAGGCTGGACCTTTTGTATCTGTGCGGATGGAGTCACTACATCCCAAAGCACTCAGGAGCTGAAAGGCTTTTGGGCCTTGTCATCACCTGGCTAGCGAAGACACTGGGGGGGAAAGTGGTACGTTAACTGTAAGGCTGTGGGAAGTGCTGAAACTGAATAATACACTGGAGACCATTGCGGTGCATGTGGCCTGCAGTCACTTATGGAAAATATATGTTCTTTTCCGTGATTCGTTATCTCTGGTTCTTTGTGTGCTGGTTTCTGCAGCACCCGCACTCTCCTCATATGCAGCTATTTTCCCTAACCCCCGAAAGGCTTTTGCCTTCCACAGCTACTAATCGGGAGGAACCTTAGCGTGCGCTGAAGTGGCGACGACACAATAGCAACACATCGGCACAATCACAGACGCCCTCAAGGCGCACATGTTTCCGCGGAGATAGCTGGGGTACCTCAATATCTGTGAGGTGCCTGAAGCCCCCTGGGGCGCTGACATCTCAGTTTGTAATATGCAGGAAAGCTCAGGGAAGGCTCAGTCCGCGGCCTAAGGCGAGTACCCATAGAAATTTTTAATAAGACTTGAAGGCGTATGCAGGACCCTTGCGCAGCTTAGAACTTAGCTACCAGTTGCGTGTGAGTCGGAGGGTGGGAGGATTAGACACATCGATTTCATCCCATAGACCGAGCGTATCCGTCTCTCTGGTAACGCTGCATTAGAATCACGGTCGTCTAGTCAATTGCTTACATCGGGGCTGCACTGCTGGCAGCCGCTGGCGGCGAACCTACGGGGGACCGTCCGTGCCGCGTACCTATCAGTTCGCATAAGTCTAGAACCCTCCAAAGCCTTTGGAACTCCATCGTAAGAGTCCCAAAGGGGCGAACTTGACAAGGCTCCTACTGCAGCAGATTGATGAACCACTTCGGGCTCACCTAAATTTTCTGATTTCGCTGTTAAGTGAGGGAGTCTCGAAGCCGTCTTTTCCCTGCACATAACAGCACATTGATGACAAAAATGTAGGAAGTAGAGGTTTTGATCGAATTATACAGTAACCTAGTGTGGCGGCGTCCCAGCTGAGCCCGTTCTACGGAGGAACTGCATGCAACCGTATCCAATGGGGGCCCTAAAGTGGTCTAAATGCAGCACTCACTCCAGTTGCTGCTGGATTTGGCCAGTGAGAGTTCCTGTGAGTTCCGTCAGCATTTGAAGCAGCAGCTGCGGGTGGAGAATAGAATGACAGACACAAAGGGGCTTCTTCATCGTCAGCTAACTGCTAAATACCCCTTCAAACGTTTCTCACTCGATGGACTCGCGTACAAAGGACAAGGAAAGTTGATGAGAGCAGCGTCCTGCGTTTTTGATTGCCACATCCGCGAACTATACAGGCTCTAACCTCTTTGAAGAGCGAAAGAACGCCCCTCGTAAAGGTCTCCGCCAGGCTCTGCTGCTCGTTTAGATCGGTACGCAGACGCTTATTTTGCAGCATCAGTTTGACGATCGCACTCGTACCTTCTCTATTGCACTCACCAGGGCCTCTGAAAAACGAAATGCAAGGGTTCGGGCGGTGCCTCAGCTTACTCTATCCATATCTAAAGCTATTGGGTTACTTGCCGCCCGGACCCCCAAAAAAAGGAGCTAAAATTTTCCTCCGAATACCCGAATAATGCCAGGGACTCACTGCGCGGTTTGCGAGTTTCTCGAGCCTCTGCTGGCGAACTGGTTCGCACCACCTACTGGGCACCTGAGGGGCGTATTGCCTGACCGCCAAGGTGATCCCAATAACATTAATCCTTCTCTTTCCCGAACGTGCTGTAGGATCTGCTGATCAGAACAGAACAGCTCCTCCAGATCTTCTAGGAATCCTTGGAAGGGCTTAGGCTCCTCGTATGCAGTAGCGAATACAGCGCTTCCCCTTGCACATGGTGAATAGGAGGGAGCCTCCACCACAGGGCAGCTATCCCAACCTGGAGAACTCCTGCCCGAGAGTATCATATCTGCAAGGCTTCGTAGCTGACCAGGAGAGGTAGTATCGACCAAAAGGCTGCGCAGCGAAAACTCAAGGACCTCATCATCCGGTGCAAGTGTACCAGATGCCTTGCGAGAGCTCTCTATGGTGCCTCCAGTTGGCGCTTCTGCTGCTTCTGGAGCTATTTTATCTCCAGACAAGGAATGCATTGAAGAGGGCTGCACCTGGATGCGTCCTTCTCGTAGACAGGTTGTAGCATTTATGCAGCAACTGGGCTCTACGAATGACTGGGTTACCCTGGAGGTTTCCTTCCCTTTATCGGTGTATTCCTCTTCGTCCCTTTTTGCAGCCTTTGACCTCCTCTTGGTCATATTTAGAGAGGTCGAAAGTCCTTCGCGGGTGCGCCCCAAGGAGACCTCTACTGCTGCCATCGCGTCATGCCTGATGGAGCGCTCCCCCTCAAGATGGAACGTTTTCGCTTCACTTGGACAACAAAATCCACTGCCACTGACACTGGAAAGCAGCTGACTCAGCAACATTGCAGCACTCCCCTGTCCTGTTTCTGCCGTCAGTGCTGTGATTGCATTGCAAGAGGCAAAGTTGGATGCAAGCGGAGGCAACGACTCCCCCAAGGGGTCATCCCACAAGGAAGCACCCTCGAATGAAGAGATAACATTAGATGCGTTGACCTCCAGTCTTCCTGCTGGAGGCAAAGGTAACGCCAAGGGCGCCCTTTTTCTTATTTTGAGAGGAGTAGGAGGTGCGGGGTCCCTCAGCTCCCTCTTGTGGCCAGATGGTGGCTCTTCAAGGCGGCCCCCAAGGACCTCAGAGTTTTCGTGAGAAGAAGGAGCCGTGCATAGGGGAGGCCGTATCTTTTGTTGCCTCTTCGTGGATAGAACTCGGGTCAAGGGAGCCCGCTCCACCTCGTATTTCTGCGCTATACGCAGGGTCTGCAAACCCAAAGAAACATACATGAAAACGCCAAGATACTGACAACAGGCTCCCGGTTACCTCTATTCTTGCCTTGATGTACAGTATTTGCATCATTGTATCCGATTTACTTGGCACCACATTTGCATCGTTATGTGCACTATTGTAAATATCGTCATCTCACGCAGCACTACTCTCTTTCACCATAATGTTCGCCACAATGAATGTTGCGTCCATCAATGTATCCATTTTTCTCGGCTTAAGCTCCCTCAACATGTTTTCCATTCACGTAGTACCTTTTTAAGGAGCCCGACGACCTCGGAAATGAGGACGAGCTGGTCTACTGTGGCAGTTTTGATCTTGGATATGGCAGTTACTGTTGGTTTAAGTTGTGGGCACGCGTTAATCTTTTCACTGATTTCCTTCTTTAAGTCGCCCCTGCCCGCTTCTCCCAATTGCACCCTCCATACCCTTGTTATTAGGGGTCCATCTGACAAGAAACAGCAGAACCAACACAGAAGGGCTAAACAGCACAGTGGATTTGAAGGAGGGAGTAGAGGAGAGCTCGACAAGACACACTGTATTTTCAGGATGAATACACGTTCAACGAGATAATGAGTAACACAAAGAGGTGACCACTCTATTCTCATATTCCTTTTCTAGCTTTTCAGCAGAGCCAGAAGGCCAAATACATCTCTAGTGAGTTCAAGCCTGGATTTGGTTCCGTGTCGAGCATGTGCTGCCTCCAGGGCTTGGAGGCTTATTGGGTTAAGGGGGAAACTAACAAGGGGGCGCTACGCCGACACTGCCCCCAAGGAGGGCCTTTGCTTTTACATCATCCTTTGGGGGAAGGTCTCTCAAGTAGGCAACCAGTTCATCAAAGCTTCCTATCTGCTCTCCTATTTGGTTTCGCTGTGAAAGGTGCATCGCTTTTGCTGAACTTTTAGCAGCCTTCAGTAAAATGCTGATTCGCAGGCAACGGAGAGTCAGGAGGCGGTCACAGTGACGGAAGATTCAGAGAGGAGTCCCTCATGAAGAATTCGCGTCCTCGAAGTATCTGTCGTGAAACTTCGGGGTCGAAGTCAGCAAAGAAGGCGGTATTCGACTCTGCAGTTCCTAGTTCTGCAATTGTTTGGTACTGTGGGGTTTATTCTCATTTGCTAACTCCTGCGAGATGGGTTTTCATGACGAGTGAAGGCTTGCCGCTTGAGGCTTTGAAAATGAAACTGGAGTGCCCTAGGAACTTGCTGTTCTCCTGAGACTAATAATCGGTGCATTGAACGCCTGGGGGCATATGGAGACGAAATAGTTACTAAAAGCTATGTATGATATGCACCGTGGAAAGTAAACGCGCATTTTATTGTGGAAAGAATCGATGACATGCAAAAGTGTCACACCTTACCATGGAAGCCACGGGCAGAAGACTCTCCCTAGTGGAGTAACAGAAGGAGTGGCAATAGCGACACCAGTAGCTGAAGCAAATGACTACTTAAAGCCGTCGGTTCAAAAAGCTTGCCAGATGGTTAGACAGCTGCACAGAGAAAAGCCTTGCCTCCGTGCGATGGCCCAAGAGACGCTTTTGCTCTATTAGATGCACGGCCTCCGAGAAAGCCGAGAGAGACCATTGAGTATTAACTCAGTTTTTGGTACCAAGAGGAACGGATGCGGCTCCGCTAAAAGTTGCTCACTTGGCCGTTTGGCGATGCGTCTAGGAGGAACCTATCTGCAAGAGGGACCACAGCAGTGCTCCGTGCAGCTGGATGTCGTCTAACGGGATCAAGAAGGGAACAAAAACGTAAATAAGGAAGCGCGAGAGAAAAGCTCAAGACTACGAAGAGATGCAAATGAACTGTTGTTTTCGCCATACAATGTCTGATGATCCTATCGGTCCATGATTTCCGCAGCACGTATGGGCTTGTGGAAATGACTGCGGCACCGGCAGTGCTGCGTTCGCAGCCCGTGATGAAAAAGAAGCCACCTAACCGCCTCTAACGCAGGATGCTTCGAGGGCGTCTAGATGTAAGGTCTGCTGGCTGCCGATTGCAACGCGACAGATTTCTTGGCCCCACCGGGACTAAAGTACAGAGAGACACGGGTAGATACCGCCAGACCCAGAAGGTGTTTTTTCAGGATAGGAGATGGCAATTTAATGGAGCGGGCGAATGAAACACGGCAGACTAGGTGCAAGACTCGAAGGGAGACACGGCCAGGGGAATTTTCCGCGTCTCACGCTTCAGTCTGCGAAGGAACAGCAGGACAGAACAGAAATACCAAAAAATAAGTTCGACCAAAACCCTGAGAGCTTGTGGGAACGGAGCAGAAGAATCTGGACCTATGGAGTCTAAGGAAGGAGGCGCTGAGGTAACGCAGGATGGATGAAGAAGAGGGACGAGGTCAGCCACGAGGGACGGTAGAAGCACGATAGCTGCAATACATTCAGCAAATAGCACAAACAATAATGAA